CCAACTCAAACCAGAGTTGTGACCTTATCGAATCTCATCAAGAATACCACTAGTAAAGTCCAACATACTAAGCTTAACTCCATAAGAAGTCTCTTAACAACCAAACTCATATCACAAAATCGCTCAATCCGTTCTAACTCTTTTCACCATCATCATCAGTATATGCAAATATTTCCAAGTCAATGCATAAGCTACTACGTTTGCTTCACCTGAATGGTAATTCAATCCAAAACCATAATCCTTCAGGAGTCCCAATCATTTTCTCCGCCTCATATTCAACTCTTTCAAATTAACAAATACCTTAAGCTCTTGAGATTCACCAACCATTTCAAATCTCACACTAACCAATTGAAGTCTCCAACTCCGGCATAAACACAACAACAACCAACTCTAAATCACTTGTTAGATAATCCCTCTTATGTAATTTAAATTGCCTCCAATCATAACTAAACTCGCTGATGTTGCACTTAACATATCTCCCAATCATATCAACAAAGCATTACACAACACAACGAACAGTTATGTCGGAATCGGCAAAAATCAACACACGAGCTGTTGACAGCTCTCCAAAACTCCTTGAACTTCTTCACAACGGCATATCACTGCTTCTTCTCCAACACTGATAACTCAAGTTCCCGATGCTCAACACGATCCTCTATACTCTTCGAATATATCAAAATATCAGCGGTTAACACAACCATTAACTCACCTAATTTATGAGTTATGGCGGAAACACGAATCGCACTTTCCGCATTCACTACAACATCCAAACGTATTCCATCAATAAATAACTTAATTCCATGTCACTACTTCACCATCACATAGAGTATTGTAATCGCTTCCAACGCTTCTAATCTGGCGTCATTCCGAGTTACGGTTCTCCCGTTATGACAACAATACGAAAACAACCTTTTCACACTTAGAAGGCCATTCAACACTTCTCCAACTCTTAAAATGTTTAAAGATCTAATTATACCAATATTGTATTCCACCTTTTACTTTACTAATCACCAGAAGTCACCATCCACCCTTTACATACTCGACCTCACAATCTGTTGTCATAGCACACACAACAGACACAAGTCTCAAAACTACTCAATCAATTTAATTCCTTGACCATCCAAATAGACATATAATATGGAGCTCTCAATATCGGACTAGTTTCCGTAACTAAGTCAATCACACCTCCACTTCATGTCCTGGCTGTGTATCACCATCTCGTCAGGATAACTTCCAGACAACCACAATTAATCGGCAAATCGTCAACTTCCCACTTTCATTAACACTCAAAATTCCCATCAAAATTAAACATCTCAACACAGTCTTGTGCCGACTCATCAAAACAATTTTGAAGTGCTTAGCTTAACTCAAGACAATTCACTGCATCACGTCATCTAAGCTTGCAAGATACATCTATCCCATCCAACACAATTCCAACTACTATCAACAAGAGATTAAGGGTGATCGGTTCCTCAATTTGTCAATAGACAGTCGAAATCATGATGGGGCATAAACCATCTTTACCAAACTATAAGAGCGTTTAACCACACACTGAGCTACAACTCCACGCTTGCAGCATCCTGGAGAAGCACAAGTTTCTCCCCCACTTGAATCATTACCACTTCTGCAGACAAGGTTAGGCAACAAACACGTACCAATAGTGTTTTCACACACATGTCGCATACAAGGGAACAAACAACGTCAGACAACTTGGCCGGATGGACCGACCTGCTCTGATACCATTAATGTAACACCCTTCTAAATCCCACGAAACATATACAAATAATCAGAGTAAATTTTCATGCATTCACAAAAGGGCGTCCCACATAACTTTCAAAACATCAAAAAACCATCTGTCATTAACACTTATAATAAATAATCATGCTTCTCACAAATTCACTTTGCATGTAGCAGCGAATTCATTTTATAACATAATTCTCTTAACAGAATACTCAGATTCATCACATACTTCAACATTACTTAGGCACCAAGGCCAACATCATAATATTCCAATGAATATAAAAACATATCACAGAGTACATAATGTATCTCTAAAATATAAACCAAACAATCCTAGTGTTACATGACCAGAGCATGACTCGACCCAATATAACTAAATTACTAAATGGCTACACCAACAACGACCACACAACTACGAGCAGCTCTATTCTCGATACCTGCACGATGTCAGATAGGACATCATTCCAGCAGAAGGGTGAGAAATATTATCATAATAATCAATGCATATAATTATATATATCCAAAGTTCTCAATTCAACATTTCACACACAAGTATAGAATACACATAATCACATTCTCACCACAAGTCATCCATATACGTCACAATGTATATACAAATATATGGATAATCACCAAACATATTTCCTCATACATACATCCGCAATTTCAATCAATTCACCTAAACCTACATATTATGTTTAATTCACCATAATTCATATAAACATATACAATCATGTTTATTCATTAATTCTTCAGTCAATATCATTCACAATTACACATTCACAATTCACATTATTGCACATAAATATTTACAATTATGTTTATTCATCACAATTCATTATAAAGTACACACACACACACACACACACACACACACACACACACACAGATATATAACACCAAGCATATTTATCATGCATATATCCAAAGTTCTCAATTACACAAGTCATGTACATACACATATGCATAACTTCATACAACAATCACATATTCATGCCATGAGACTCAATGCACTCAATGCAACTCATGCCATGTGGTACCAACACTTGTTATCATTTTTCGGTTTTTACACTTAAACCGAGTCCACCCTTCTAGACCGATAACAACAAAAGCCCGTTCCCTAAGCTTTCAAACCCACCCTTCTAGGTTTGGGACAAGTCACTAGTCTCCACGAAACTAGCAAACATTGCCTCTTGACTGAATGATGCATATGCAATCAACCACCAAATACACTTAAGACCGTTCCCGCATCTTAATCCCATGCATTCAAATAATTCATCACTCAAGAATTATAACATGATTGCACACACAACATATTCAATAACATCATATTCATCGAGCAATGCACACCTATTCACAATATGTTCTCATGCATTCTTCACAACATCACATACAAACAATATACATTCATAATTCAATATCATCACCACATTATCAAGCAATGCACACATATTCACAATATGTTCCCATGCATTCTTCACATACTATAACATATAATCGATATATATATATATATATATATATATATATATATATATATATATATATATATATATATATATATATATATATATATATATATATATATATATATATATATATATATATATATATATATATATATATATATATATATATATATATATATATATATATATATATATATATATATATATATATATATATATATATATATATATATATATACATACATCGTGCCAAACAGCAACAAACCTCATCACAATTCATCATGCATTTTTAATCAATTTAAAATAATGCATTATATACGCCAAAAGGCCACATTTCATAATCAATTCCACAATCTAGGATTCACGCATTACGGCTACCCACAACATATGTTTCACAGCACACAATTATTTATTTCCAACAAGGATCAAACACAGTCGAACCAAGAAATCAACATAGGATGGAATCTCAAGAAAACCAAATGCTGTCACGCTCGCTGGCTTGCTCGCCTAGCGAGTCCCTAGCGAATACTTGATATCTGTTCGCCTAGCGAACAAGCTCGTGAAGACAAACAGAAGCTACCGACTTCGCTCGCTTCCTACTCGCTGCAGCGAGGCCCTAGCGAATACTTCGCTACCTCACTCGCTACCAGCAAACCAGATCAAATACATTCTTCCCAAGTTTGGGACCTCTCGCTAACTTGCTCGCCTAGCGAGTTGCTAGCGAACACTCGCGACCTGTTCGCTTAGCGAAGGTGCTAGCGAACGTCTGCGAACTCAAAAACCCTCACTGTCATCAATCCTTAACTCTTCATAAAATCAACCGATTCTCACCAAACCAGTTCCTATAGTCTTAGTCTAACATCCCTCGACTAAACTACACACTTTATTCTCGATTTTAACGGTTAAAACTTCGATTATACCGATTAAACTCATTTATGCCCTAGAATGGAAAATGGAGGAAACACCCAAACAATCCATACAATCCATACATAATCATAAACACTGATGGAATAACAACATTTTACACCCTTACCTTGATTAATCGGAAGCTAGAAGCCGTTCTTGACGATTCCAAGCTTTTCCTCTATTTTCTCCTCTTCTCTCTTCTTCCTTCTTTCTCTCTCTTCTTTTCCTTTCTTTCCTTTCTATCTTTTCTTTTCTTTCCATTATATTTTCTTCTTTCCAATTATCTACCAAATCATTTAAATAATCATCCAATAATTCCAATAAATCAATTAATTAACATAAATAATTAATTAATGAAAATTGGGCTGTTACACAATGCATATTGAGAAAAATATGTGTGATAATGTCCTACTTACGTTACTAAATGATAGGCAAAAGAGTAAAGACAATTCTAAAGCTAGATATGACCTTCAAAATATGGGCATAAAACCTAATCTTTGGCCTGATGAAAATGGTAGAATTTCTCCGACAGCCTTTAGTTTAATGGGTAAAGATAACAGGAATTTTTTAACAACTTTAAGGAATATTAGGGTGCCTGATGGTTATTTAAGCAACATTTCTAGATGCATTGACTTAGTAAATTTCAAGGTGAATGGAATGATGAAGAGTCATGATTGTCATATATTAATGGAACAACTTCTACCATTAGCAATTCGCAACACATTACCTCATGAGATTTCAGCAGTTTTGATTGAGTTGTGCTCATTCTTTAGAAAATTATGTGCCAAGATATTGAAAATTGAAGAATTGGAAAAATTGCAAAACCAAATTGTCCTCACTTTATGCCACATGGAAATGTTATTTCCTCCCTCGTTCTTCACGGTTATGGTTCACTTGGTTGTTCACCTTGTTGAAGAGGTTAAACTTGGAGGTCCTGTTCATTATCGATGGATGTATCCTGTTGAAAGGTAAACTATGTGATTTTATTTTATTGTTACTAACTTAGAAAGTAGAAAGATTTTTTTTAACCGATACTATTGTGGTTCAATAACAGGTACTTGGGAAAACTTAAATCGCATGTACGTAATAAGGCAAAACCAGAAGGGTCTATTGCAGAAGGATACCATTTTGAAGAGATTCTTACATTTTGTTCAAGATATCTAGAAAACATTGAAACTAGATGGAATCAACCTGGACGTGTAGATGATGACCCTATTGGTGATATCCAAATAGGATCACATGTAGCCGAAATATTTCCTATATTTGGAAAACCAGTGGGTGGATCTTCTTATTACACCCTAACACCAATTGAAAAGTTGCAGGCTCATAGACACATTTTGACAAATTGTCCAATAGTTGACGACTATCTAAAGTAAGTAGTTTTATGCCATTTAAGTAGTTTCATTTGCACTATTAAGATTTTTTTTTACATCTAATATCAAATAACCAAATAGGTAGTTTCGAAGTATTACTCAGAATCAAATGAAGCACAGTCAAAGAAGTGTTGCTGAGATAGATAAGAAGGTTCATAGAGAATTTGCTCATTGGTTCCGCAATTGTGTGAGTTTTTGTACAAAAATAGATGTTTTTATTGAATTGGATTTTAATAATAACAAGACTAATTGGATGTTGTATCGTGTATAGATTTGCAACAATCTTGACAACATTCATGGACCAGATAAAGATGTTCTCATTAGTCTTGCTTATGGCCCTTTTGATAAAGTTAAAAGATTTACTGCGTTCAATGTCAATGGATTCAAATTTCGAACATTGGAACGAGACAATCTTTTAAAAACTCAAAATAGTGGCGTTTTTGGATGGTTTAGGACGTGAAGTTATTCAAGCAATAGTGATACCCAAATGAGATTTGGAGGGGTCCCTTACTATGGAAGATTGATAGACATTATTGTGCTTTCCTATGATGGCTTCACAGTTCCCATGTTTAAATGTGAATGGAATAATACCACAAAACCAAGAGGCATTAAGATAGATAAGTTGGGTTTTACCTCTATAAACTTTACAAAACTACTACATTTTGGGGAACATGAAGATAATGAGCCGTACATTCAAGCGTCAGAAGCTCAGATGGTTTTTTATGTGGATGATGAGAATGAAAAAGGATGAAGCATACCTGTTCATTTGAAGCCAAGAGACTTGTATGACATGGGTAGAGATGATGAAATTATGTCACCCAATTGAGCCATATCCATCACAAAATTTGGAACAAATTTTTTTGAATGATGATATTAGAACTTCATCAACAAATGATAACAGTAATTAACATATAGTTTTTTATTGATAAGAAATTTAGTTTGTTTGTATAATTAACATTTTTGTGTGAGACTTATGGTTTTTGTTTTGTATCCCTAATTAATGTATGAGATGACATTATTACTCTATGTTTTTTGTTATTTATCCCTAATTAATGCATGAGATGACATTACTACTCTATATTTTATTGCATAAATTATCCTTTTAATTTGTTGTGTTTGCGTTATGTTTATTAAATTTATAGTCACTAATATAAAGTTTTGATGTTTACTACTATTAGTGTACTGTCATTTTAATACATATACTTGCAGTTGAAGCCTTTTGTGAGACAATGATTTCATCATATGAGGAAATTCACCTCAAAAGGATTGCAGAGAATAAGAAAAAGCTAGAGGCTCTCAATCTTCCAAAGCTCTCTCAATCCCTTCACAAAACATCTTCACCTTCTTCCAAACCACCGCCAGTTAGTAATAAATTCTCAATACTATTCTATAAAAATTAATTGTATTAATTGTTGATTGATATTCACTGATGTATTTTATTTAGTCTGTGAAGGGTTGTCCGAGGTTTGTACAACCTGGAGAGCTTGAAGTAAACAAGAAGCGCCTACGTTCAACTACAACGCGCAAATAATCAATAATCCCTCCGCCAATCAAAACTACAATAACTCTTCCGCCAATCCAAACTAAAATTACCCCTCTGCCAATTGAAACTACAATAACCCGTTTGCCAATCCAAACTGCAAAAGATATTGTGGTAGCAGATGAGGATGAAGATGTTGTGGTAGAAGATGAGACCGAAGATGATGTGGTAGGAGATGAGGCTGAAGATGTTGTGATAGGAGATGAGGTTGAAGATGTTGTGGTAGAAGATGTGACTGAAGATGTTGTAAAAATGGCTAAATCTGTGTATTGGGATGTAAATGTCATTAGTAAGTAATTTAAGGTTAAAGTATTTGTAAATAATTTAATTTTTTTTACATAGTTGAGTTATGACATTAATTTGTTTACTTGTTTATGTGATAGATGAGGAGAGTTATGTTTCAAACACACGTTTATGTGTGAAAGACTTGGTTGCAAAATTAAAGTCTGATGGAACATGGATAATACTTGAATTTGATAAAGATCATTGTGCAATAGGACCAGCTTCTGGTTTGTTAGCATGGTATTTGGGTATAATTATTAGAATGTTTAAAGACTTTCCCATAATGTTCGAGAGTTGGAAGGATATTCCAGCGGATACAAAAACAAAGTTTTATGATTCAAAGGTAAAGGTATCATTAATAAACAATTACATATTTTTTAAATTAATTTCAAGGTGATTATTATTTGCTTTGTTAACTAATTTTTATTTTTATGGTTAGCTCCACTTTCTTGTTGATGATGGGCGTGACAAAGAATTCATACTTGCTTCTGCTGCAAAGAAATGGAAGGATGACCGACATCAATTGTTTCACCAATTTTATAGATGTGATCTCACTTTGGAGGAAAATCTTCAAAATTATCCAATATGCAGAGGCATTCTGGAAAATGTTTGGGCTGTTTTTGTTCAATATAGGCGGAAAGAAAAAACACAGGTAATATTAGTGCTTTTATTTGTTAGATTTATCTAGTTTGTATGTTATCTCTATCTATAACGCATGCTTTTAATTGTTAACTATGTAGAAAATAGCCCAAAAAAAGCCCAAAATAGAGCAAAATTGAAGACTCCACATACACTCGGATCTAAGTCGCTTGCAAGGAAGAAACATGAGTTGGTATGTCTAAATCTATATAGAGATGAATGTATTACTGATGGTAAAAATAATTAATATTTTTTCTTATTTGTAGGAATCGAGAGATGGACAAACATACAGTAGAGGAGAAATGTATGTAGTTTCTCATAAAAAGTCTGACGGGTCTTTTGTCAGTGAAGATGCATACAATAATAATGTAAGTACAAGTTAATTCTTTTTAAATATTTGTTATTCTCCTTAAGGTATGAGAAAAAATCAAACCTTTTGGCATCTCTTAAAGGTGGGGAGAACCTCTGAAAACTGGTTAAATTAGATTGAGAATTGTGATTATTTGAGTTAATTAATTAGTCTTGTAACAATAGGTTGTGCTCTTTATAAAGTCAACTAATTATTCATACAAATAGAAATAAAATATAAAATTAAGACAAGATTACATTTCATATATGATGTGAAAACATATAATTCTACTAGTTACATACCGGTATGCCTTAGATGAGAGTAGTTGGTAACATATATTTTCACTAAAGTATAACTTTTACAAATGCATACTGGAATTGAAATTTTAAATAAATACAAGTAGTAAGAAGAAAGTTTAACATGTATACAAATTTTACATAATCAAATACGTTATTGGAATTGAAATTTACCATCACAAATGCATACTAGAATTGAAATTTTAAATAATTCGAGCAGCCAATAAAACTTATTGGAATTGAAATTTATCATCACAAATAGATTAACTAGCTAAACCAAGTTTTAAATTACTAAACATCTTTTTCATCGATACAAATTTATTAGTTTTTGCTTATAATCATTGTTTGTTTCCCCTTAAGACGTAGAAACTTTTTTATTAGCTAGATTGAAAAGTTAAGTTAAGTTTGTTTGCTCAATTTACTCTTTTTCATGTGCAGGAAAAGTTACAAGCTGCAATTAACAATTTTGTGTCTGAAAATGAGGCATTTCAGAAAGTATTTGGAAAAGAACAACATGGATATGTTCGTAGTATGAGACTTGGAGTTACGCCATCTCATATTAATAGATCTACAAGATTGACATCTTCTGCAGAAAATGAAAAAAATAAAAGAAATGCAACAAGAAATTATTGCACTTAAAGAAAAAAATTCAAAAATTGATGAATTGATGGAGGCAATCACATTCTTAAAGCAAAGAGACAATGTTATGAAAGAAGAAATTGAAGTCTTAATGCAAACGTAAAATTCTAGTGGAAGACAGGTATATTATTTTGATGAATTTAAAGTTAAAGCTTAGGAGCATTATTTTAAAGGGTATTATTTTAATACAATTTTTTTCTAGGGATTGGAATCACCCGCTGATGGTAGACGTTCATCTGAGTCTAGCTACCGAATTCCGTAATGACATACTTTCTGGATTATGAACCTTCTTATTTATTTTTGGCATAATGATACTTATTGTTATAAGATTATGATTTGATATGTTTTCGGGTTTTTTTATTACATGACATGATTATGGAACTTCCATTTTACATGATTATGAAACTCACGTTTTTTTTTATATTATAATGCTTATTTGATATTAAATTTTGGAATTAATTTTACTATGTTAAAAAGCGATAGAAAATAAAATTAAAAAAAAATACTATAAATAAAAATATTATTGTATAAATAATTTAAAGAAAAAATAATATAACTATTTTAATAGATAATAATTTAAATAAAAGAATATATTATAAAACAATATAATACAATACATAAAAATTAATAATGATTTACACTGTTGCTAAATGTAAAAATTAAATAATTAGTTGCGCTTTAAATCGTTACCAAATAAATTATATTTAAAATTTTATAAATCAAATTACGACGTCAAGATATCATATTCACGACAGTTTTAAACTGTCACAATCAACAATGGTAACAAAAATCAAAATGATATTCACGACAGTATTTAACTATTGTCATTTCCAGTTTATGTCAGTTTATTGTCATTTCCAGTTTATGTCAGTTCCAATCAGACGTGAAATAGAGTTCACGACAATTTTAAACGGTCACAATCAACAATTAAAACAAAAATCAAAAGGCTAGTAACGACGGTCTTTAACCGTCACCATCTCTAGTTTAGGTCAGTTCCAGCCCGTCGTGAAATATTACGACGGTTGGTGTGGCGGTTTTGGCAACCATCGCTAAACAGTCTGGGGACACACGTTTCTGCGACGACACTACAACCGTCCGTCGTAGAATGTAATTGATGGTGGTTTTAACCGTCGTAACCTGCCAAAATAACCTTTGTAATCCATCATTTTTCTTGTAGTGTCAAAAATCGATTTTCATCAACACCAAAACCTCAACTTCATTCCCCAAAAATATTCATAATATTGTTTCGACTCTGACTCGCGATCACATACAACAACACAACATAGACATCAACAATTTCATCGGAATCATAAATTCCAACAAATCGTAAAAACAACAATACCACAATCAACGTCGAATACAACATCAAAATACAACATTCATCGGGAAATCAACCAAATTCAACAAATATCATTCCATCAAAATTATGAAGAAGAAAAAAAGAAGAGAAACACAAAATGTACATGATAGAATCTACCCACCATTATCATGTTAATCCTTAGATAATTAGAACCTCGCCCTTACCTTAGAGTTTTTGCAACAATTTCTTCTTCCTCAACAATAGATTTTTCTCTTCCCTTACCTTAGCTCTCACTTCACGTTCTTTCTTCTGTTTATCCCAAATTCCCTCTCAACTTCACCTTTTCTATAATAATAATAATAATAATAATAATAATAATAATAATAATAATAATAATAATAATTATTATTATTAT